TGATTTCTGCAACAGGCAGATCTACTAAATATTGATTTCATTTCTTTTTTTGTGGTGCCCAAATTTATGCAGCTGCCTGATTTTGTTTAAACAATTATTGCACACTTTCTGTAAATCCAATAAACTTCATTTTACTTCTCAAATATTACTGTGTGTCTCCTATATGATATATTTAACTGACATTTGTAATTGTAACAACCAACGATTTATACAGGAAAATAATGACTATTAACAAGGTTGCCCAAACTTTTGCATCCCACTGTATGTTTGAAAAGGTCCTAGCATGTCAGTGGATCGAAACCGATTTAAATGAATTTCCATTTTAGAGGAAATGTAAAGATCTTTATGAGCACATTTTATTTGTGTGTGTGTGTGTGTGTGAACGCTTTTCAGTGTAAGCGAAAGCATTTTACTAGTTTGCAAGACTGGGTTTCTGTTGTGTATCTGCATTGTTTCACTGTGTATGCAAGGTTTTCAATATTGAGAGAATGGATTTGATTTCATATGTGTATGTGATTCTGAATAAAATCTCTCATACTTGGGAATACTTTGTATTTTCTTTTCCTTTCATTATTGGGACATCTGTGTTTGTACAGGAAGAAGGATTTGAAAAGGTTTTCCAAACTGTGTCATACAGTGGAGACAACATGGTGTACTGTCAAGAATGTGAGAAGAAAACAGAGGCAACCAGCGTGAGTTTCAAACACCAGCTGTAGCCTTACTGAACTTTAAACTAGGATTACTGGGATGTCTTAGATCTGTTTAAAGCAGAGTCTGTTGGTACAACTGTGCTGTGTTTAATCATCTCTCATTTGGTTTTTAGAGATGTGAGATGGGGAAGTTTCCTCGCATCTTAATTCTACTCCTCAAAAGATTTGACTTTGACTACAACACCATGTCAGATTTTAAATCAGACTGCTGTGTTGCTGTGCCATCTGAATTAAAAACAAAGGTAAGGACGAGTCACTTTGAAGCCTGTTCTTATTTTTTATCTTCAAATTTATTCTTATATTTGACGGTATGTTTTGTTGTAGGACAAGAAGTACAAAGTGTATGGGATAGTGAATCACATGGGCAGTCTAAGAGGTGGACATTACACAGCCACTGTGCTGTCCAAAGAGGACCACACCTGGTATGAGTGC